AAAGCAGAATGAAGTGTGTTACCCCTCACGCACTAAGGATGTAGAAGTACAAGATACGCCTTCCTGAAGGTGGCACCCGAGGATTACCTGTTTCCTGGCATTTGTGCCTGTGTCCTACCCTTTCCCCTGGAATGCAGGGCAGATTTATTGGTTTGCTTTTGGAAAAGAATAGGGCTGTCACTATTAACTTAGCACAGAGAAGAATGTAGCTTCTGTCTTGTACCTTCCCGTCTCAGGTGAAGCAGGGTGCAGCGTCATGAACAGCTTTATAGGGAGGTTCATGATACAATAACCTGTTATCTTCCGCTCTCGTGGGTTTAAATGTGTGTTCAAAGCCCTAAAGATACAGTCTTGTGCTCTTACTTGGAAACAGCATTTTTTGTTGTTGTTGGGTTTTGGTTTGTTTGTTTTCTGTTTTGTTTTATTTTTTATTTTTTGCCAATATAATAAAGTTAGGTGTGGCCATAGCGGAGATGTTACACAGCTTTTTGTGACTATTACAAACACTGGGGATACCTTCCCTTACCATGATGAAAGGGCTAATTGAGTTTACAGTTCTGGAGGCTGTTGTCTAATGACAAGCTCACAGGAAGCTTGTGGCAGAGCCACTACCACTCAGCTTTCAGCCAGGAAGTGGAGGAGAGGAGAGAGCAGATTGAAGCCCCACTATCCCCTTGCAAAGCACACCCCTAATGATTGGAGGAAAGGCCTCCCACTATGCGGCACGTCCTCCAAGTGATGCTAAGCTTCAGACTAAACTTCTAATATATGGGCTTTGGGGGGGGGATCCTAGGCATTCTAGAATCACATGACACTGAGTTAGAGTGAGTCCTATCCCCACGACTGTTACATTTTTAAGAAAGAAATTTAGGAGTGGAGACACACATAAAGAATACCATCTAAGGGCCCTAGCGTAGGTCAGAGTGAGAGAGCTGTCAGAGCAAAGCTGTACGTCATCCGGCCGTGCCCTAAAGCCTTCACTGAGAATATCACACTCTTGGCACCTAATTTTTGAACCTGGAGAAAAACCAATCCTTTTGTGGTGCTTTGTTATAAAGTCCCAGGAAAATATTTCATCAGCCAGTGACCAGCCTGGACCTGAAGCCTGCAAACAGACAAGAGTGAGCCTGAAGGAGGGTCTTCCCTCGTGTGTCAGCAGCCAGGCTCTGTGACCGTGTAAGTATAGCACCTTCACTCTGCGGACAAGCCTGGAGATGACTACATCCCCCAGTGACCCTTAACTGCAGACCTGTCTTGTGAGCCATCTGAAGCCAAGTCCCTCACCCCTCATCCCCCAATCAGGAAGCTAATCTAGGAGTCAACTCTGGCTAGTTCCTGGCTCCAGTGCTCTCTGATAGGAGCAAGGGGGCAGAGGTCAGGAAATAAATGGGAGTGATGAAATAGCTCTGAAACAGATGCAAAACTAAAAAAATTATAAATTCAATACTATAAAAACAGATACTATATGGGCTGGAGAGAACCCGCAGTAGCTAATAGCACTGGCTATTTTTCCACAGGACCTGGGTTTGATTCTCAACAACCATGTGGCATTTGTAACTCCAATTCCAGGGGATCTGATGCACTTTTTTTTTGGTTTTCTTGGGTATTGCACAAAGGTAGCACACACACATATATGTAAACAAAGCACTCATACATGTAAAAGAAAATAACATAGTTAAACAAACTGATGCCATAACCATTATCCAAAAGCACATTAGGGCCTGCCATGTAGTCCAGCGGCTAAAGGACTTGCTACCAAGCCTAATGATGTAAGTTCAAAACCCTAGAACCTGTGATAGAGAGGACTGACTCTTCAGGTTTTCCTGTCACACACACACACACACACACACACACACACACACACACACACACCATAAATGAATGTTTTTTTTTAAGGTTTTAAAAAGAAAAGTCTATTAATTTAAGAATGTTGGAACACTGTTCATTCATTGCGTTATATTTTAAAGATTGTAAAGGTTAAAATAATTTCAAAGACGTCTCAAATCTAGTGAATTCATCACTGGTGGTGCTGCTGGCAGGTCTTAATTGTGTTTATTCTGAAAAGAATGAGGCCATGCTAGCCTCAGAGCTTGCTGAGCTCAGGGCAAGGTCACTGCTGCCTCCAGGCAGCACCGTTATCTTGGCAGAAAGAGTTAATCAGGACGCGCCTTAGTTGCAAACTTGTGGTTGCCAGTTCGGACTGGTGATTAGGCTGAGCCGACCCAGGCAAGATCATTGCTACTTCAAGGTCAGGCTGTTGCAAACCATAAGCCTCAATTGTGATCACTCCCGTGTGCTGTGACCTTGAATCACTGCCTGACCAGCTGCACAGGGCACCCCATTTCTAGAGTCATCACGGTGCTTAGAAAGCCACCGTGAAGGTAGCTCTCCTCACGGTCTCATCTGCCTCGGCTTTTCTGAAGAGTGTTTTAATAAACTCTGCTTCTGCCTTCAGTCTTTGGTGAATTCATCCATAGCCCATGTGCCACTACCTTGTTAATGCCACTCCTGGCACAGAATTGACTATTCTGTGTAAATTGTATTAGTGCTGGTAGAATAAGAGAATTTTCTATGTTAGATGAAAGACATAGAGAAAAAAGGAGGTTAGAATGAAGCCCATGGTGCAGGCTTCTAAATTAGAAATATCTATCACCCACGATTTAAAAATATCTGGGGTAAGCCAGGCGCAGTGGCACAGGCCTATAATCCCAGTGCTCTGGTAGGCAGAGGCAGCTAGATCTCTCTGAGTTTGAGGCCAGCCTGGTCCAGGACAGCCAAGACCACACAGAGACCCCCCCCCCTTCTATATATGTCTGGGGTGGGTGAAGAGATGACTCAGTGGTTAAGAACATTTGTTGCTATTCTAGAGGACTTGGGTTTAGTTGTCAGTGCCCACATAGCAGCCCATAACCATCTATACGATCGTTCTAGGGGCATCTGATCTCAGTGGCAAAAGGCTCTTCTGACCTGACCTCCATCAACACCAGACATCCGTGTGGCACACAGACACACAGGCACACATAACACTCATACACACAAACTGAAATGAATAGATCTAAAAACAGTTTCAAAAGTGTCTGTGGCGAGAAGGCAGATGGTTTGTGAGGTTAACCGTGATTTTCACTTTGATCTATAGTCAAGCCTCCTGGACACCTGTGAGGCCTCGTCCAGATGAGGGTAATCTCTAGACATTGCCGGTGAGAGATGCTTTTGGTTAGGGAAACACAAGTGGGAAGACTCCCTCTGAATGGGGACACCACGTTTTCCCCGCAGCCCAGGTTCAAGGGGCCCCACAGGAAAGGCTTTTGCCTGCTTGCCGTAGCCTCTTGCTGGTGAGTGCTTCTGCCACACCTTCTAAGTTCCTTTGCTGCCAGCAGACCCTGGCTTCATTGGCTTTCCAATGCGGACTGAAGGAGGATGGCTCTACAGGAACCCTCCAGGCCTTTGGTGTCAGACTGGGGCTACTGAGGCACCCAGGGTGGTGGACTGAGCACCTGCCAGGTTCCCCATTTTTCCACAGTGTAGACATCCATCGTTGAACTGATTACCCAGACCATATCATGTAAGACAGTTGAATAAATCCCATTTTAAAATATACTCATTGTTTTTTTTTTTTCCTAAAGAGAACCCAACTATATTCTGTTTTATGTTATGTGATACAATATAAAAGGAAAAATAGACTTTGTAAAATAAAACTCTCCAAGCACAATAGACAAGGAAGACATTTCAAGAACTGGTAGGCATTGTGCTAGAGAGCAGGAAGTACTGGAAGAGAAGACTTCCCCAGGACACAGGAACAACGTGAGATGGCTTCCAATGGCCAAAGGTGGGCAAGCTGAGTACCAGAAACAATACAGATATTTGACTGTAGCGACCGAGTTCAAAAGAAACCCAGCGGTCCACATCATTACTCAGAGCAAAGAGTAGGGGCTTTGCTGAGGAGACAGGGGCCTCGAGCAGGTGGCGGCTTTTGCATCTTGTCTGGTGGATAATGAAGCCAAACTGGCGGTGTCCAGAAAAGAGGGAAAAGATGCGAATACCTGCCGTTTTTCTAAATGTTTCTGAAGCTCATCATGAGGGAACATCCAGAACAGGACAAGACAGTTGGTCAGGGCTGAAAATATGCCAAAGTTAAAAATTTAGAAAAGCCGGGCTCCGAGTCACAGGTACTCGTGTCCTAGCACTCCGGAGGCATAGGCAGGCGGATCTCTGTGAGTTCGAGGCCAGCCTGGTCTAGAAGGGCTACACAGAGAAACCCTGTCTCAAAAACCAAAACAACAACAACAAAAGAATTTAGAAAATGCGAGCTCTAGTCTACGCAGTTTATGAGAGGTGAATTTAAATATATTGGGTTACTTTTCGGTAGCTCCAGAGTTTAAACTGCATGTGCAAGAGTGTGCGACCTTTTGAGACAGGAAGGAGATACAGATATGATAGTGTATGGGATATAATTGACAATGTACTCCGTGTCTTGTACGTGATGAGTGGCAGTTCTTCAAGAGTTCGGTGTGGGAGCCAGAACGGACACAAGCGTTGCGAAATGCTAGCCTTTGGTGTGATCTGGGTAAGGGGTTCTCGGGTTTTCGGTCAGCACATTTCAAATTATAAAGCTCTAGGGCAGGAACAGTACGAGCAAGATGATTTCTTTGCGGCTGCAGACACAGAGAAGCCCCTTCTGGCTCTGTGGCTTCCCGGTTTCTCCTTCACAGACTGAAGGCTGTCGAGAAGCAGCTCCCGGCCCGCAGCTCAGTCCCCAGCAGTCAGAGCCCGGCTGCTGTGGGACCTTCTCTATCGGGGCTGGACCCGCTGCGGCCGGGGGCGTGGTCCGGAGGGGCCTGTGTCGGCAGAGACCAATGGGAACGCGCTGTGGGCGTGCCCTGGCTGGGAATGGGCGGAGCCTCACCCGGGCTTGGGCCGTGCCCGCCACTCAGCGGCCTTTTCTTCCGCTCCCGCCCCGCGGTGCTCCCAGGCGGCTGCAGCGGCTGCGAGGAGTAGGAGGGGGAGCTGCGCCGCGGCTCGAGTTCCCGGCTGCGCGGCTTCCGCGTGGACCCCGCCGGGGAACCGCTGCGGCAAGTGTGCTGGGGTTTGCGTGCTGCGCTCGGTGGGTACGAGGCTCCGGGGCCCGGGCTCGCCCCGGGGTTCGGGCGGTTCTGCGGGAGCGGCGGAGAATAGCCGAGGTAGGGGCCGTCCGGGAGGTCTCGGGGGTTGCACCCTTGGCTGCGGCACTCCTTCCTCCCACCGGTGTGCGCCCCTCCCATCCGTGGGCACCCGCGAGCTCCGTGCCCGGGGAAGGGCTCGCCACCCATTGAATTGAGGGTGGACGGCTGGGGATGTAGCTTTGAGCTCCTTAGCATATACACGATCCCGGGTTCAGTCAGCGTTGAGAAAGAGACGGATAACAAGCAATTCCATCTTCTTTAAGGTACACACACACACACACACACACACACACAATTGTTTGCGGAACAAGCCAGGTTGCCGCTCGCGTTCCCAAGAACCCATCAAATGAATTGTTGCATAAGTTAATGTGCTAATGCATTTTAAAGTCTTTTTTTTGGGGAGGGGGGTGCGGCGGTGTTCGTATAATTTCAGGCAGAACACTCGTGCTATCGTCGGGACGGTTTTTGCTTGAGAATAGCAAAACAATGCTGGAACGCCCTTGTAGATTCCACATTCGGAGATGCGTAGTGTTAAGTTGAAAGGCATGAATTTTAGTACTGGCGCTGCCAACTTTTGTCACATGGGCCCAGTTAACTCATGCGGAAAAAAAGTTACCTGTTTCTAAAAAGTTCCTAAAACTCCATATTCATAAGTATGTGCTTAATTTGTATTTTTCTGTGCGATTAAAAAAAAAAAAAGATTAATCCAGTTTTATTTTTGTGTCACAGAGTGTATATGCACCACGTGTACAAGGTACCCTGGGAAGCCAGAGAGTATCAGATCCCTTGAAACTGAAGTTATAAGCAGGTGTGAGCCACCTGTGTTGATGCTGGGAATGCAACCCTGGTCCTCTGGAAGAGCAGCCAGTACCCTTGACTGCTGAGCCGTCTCTCAGCCCCTCACTGTGCTCTTTTAAAAAAGAATAGGGAAACATTTATGAAAAGACGGTTTAACAGGGTGGAGATTTATGAGAACACCGAAGGGTAGAGGATGTGATTACAGTTTAAGACTGTAGACTGAAAGAACACACTAAAATGAAAGTGATTTATTAATTATATGAGAGACACTTGGAAAGCTCTCAGAAGTACCAGCAGCCAATAGCAGCTTAAGAAAATATCTTACAAGTGAAGTCTTCATAATGGAACCACAGCTTTTGGTCATTACTCTTCCCAGCTGCCTCCCAGCTCTCTCCATCTGACTTTGTTTCTGTCCAGCTACAGCCCTTCTGCTTTCTTCTTTCACGTGTTCTGTCAACCTGTTTTCTGTCTCTCTTAAGGCCTTTTTCTCCCATCATGATTCTCTTCCTAGTAATGTTGATCTGTACACACACACTTAAATACACATATATCTATGAAAAACATAAAGCATAGGGGGTTTGTCTTTCTGAGAGTAAATTGGGTCTGTCTGTCTGTGTGTCTTTATGTGTATGTACCTACAGGTACAGGGAAGGACACACAGGAGAGAGCCCTACAGCACAGGTGCAGAGAACAACTTTCAGAAGTCAGGTCTCCTGTGGATCTGAAGTACTGAACTCAGGCTTGCTGACAGGTCCTTTCACGGAGTCATCTTGCTGCCCTCATTTGTTTTCTGGTCTGGAGTGAGATGGAACCTCAAAACAATCTTGATTTGGGTGTTTTTCAAGAGAGACAGGGTCTCACTTGGTAGCTCAGGCTGTCCTGGAACTATGTAGACCAGGTTGGCTTCTGAACTCAAAAAGATCCGCCTGCCTCTGCCTCCAGAAGCTGGCACTAAAGGTGTGTGCCACTATGCCCAATTCAAGGCTCTATCTGCTTGCACACCTGCACTCTAGAAGAGGGCACTAGGTCTCAGTAGAGATGGTTGTGAGCCACCATGTGGTTGCTGAGAATTGAACTCAGGACCTCTGGAAGGGCAACCAATACTCTTAACCACTGAGCCATCTCACCAGCCCACTTAAAGTAGTTTTAATTTTCATTTACCTGATGGCCAAAGATGTTGAACACTTGTTTAAGTGTTTCTTGGCCATTGGTATTTTTTTTTTTAACCCTCTTTCTAGTTTAGTAGTTAATTTATTGGATGGATTTGGTGTTTAAGTTTTGCAGTTCTTTATATATCCTGGATACTAATCCCTTGTTTCATGTGTAGCTGGCAAAGATCAACCCCCTCCTCATTCTGGAGGCTGTCTCTTCACTGTTTGTTTGTTTTTAATGCAAAAAAGCCTTTTAATTTCATATAGTCCTGTTTATTTCCTCTGCTATTTTGGCCCTTTCCAAGTACTGTGTTTTAATGGCCTCTCTTTACAGCTGTACAGATAAGGTCAGGTGGAATGTTAATTAACATAGAGATGATATAGTAGAAAGGGTAACAGTATTCTTAAGTGTAGGGAGAATCTTTGAGGGTCTTTGAATAGATACCGTCATTCATTTCTTTTTTGTTTGTTTTAAACAGGGTTTCTCTGTGTAGCCCTGTTTGTTCTGAAACTCACAGAGATCTACCTTCCTTTGCCTCCTGAGTGCTGGGCTTGTACCACCACGCCTGGCTCAGAAAATATTTTTAAAAATAAAAGATTTTCACCTCTTGTTCCCCCAAAATTGTACAGCTGTCATTCTACTCACAGATTTTATTTTTGGTGGTGTTGCTAGGGTTTGGAGCCTGAGCCTTCCATATGTTAGCCAAGTGCTCTGCCACCAAGATACAAGCCTCAGTCTTCAGTAAATACACACACACACACACACACACACACACACACGCACACATACACACATATACACACATATACATATACATATATGCATGTGTATTTAACAGCCTTGGAAGATACTGTTTGACTTCAAGGTAGTATGAAGAGGAAAGCTCGTGCAGGCCTTTGGAGAGGCACTAGCTGCAGTGCCTCATGACAGGAGAGCTGTTTTTCTTTTCTGAGGCTTGTGGCTTCAGCTGTGAACTTTCACAGTTTGTGAAAGTTGAATCAAGTCCTCTGATGGAAAATACATAGCAATGCCTGACATCAAACATCCCATAGTGACAGCTGATATTAGTGTTGTGTTTATGATGCAGCAGGGAGAGTTGGTCATCGGGTTTCAGTCTGACTTCGAGAGTATGGCCAAACACAAGGGCATGATGGGAAGTGATCTATAGCCACCACACAACCCTGGCTGTGTGCGGAGTTGTAATCCCTTTGCTAGTTCTCAAGTTGACACACTCACGAGACATCTCCATCTCGGCCCTCACTATATATAATTAGGTTTCTCTGAAAATCAGGTTAAAGATGTTCCCGGGGAAATCCCCTCCAAGGGCGCTTACGTAGGAATGGGTTAGTTTACCAAACACAGGTTACAGCCCAAGATAACTGAAGCTCTGGCAGTTTGCCATGGTAAGCACAGGCTCTAACACACCTATTGGCAGAAACCAGCCTCCTTCAGCAGGACTTTTTTTATAATTTTTATTTTTTATATTAATCACAGGTTATTTACTTTGTATCCCAGCTGTAGCCCCCTCCCTCATTTCCTCCCAATCCCACCCTCCCTCTCTTATCTCCTCCCTGCCCCTTTCCAAGTCCACTGTTAGGGGAGGTCCTCCTCCCCTTCCATCTGACCCTAGTTTATCAGGTATCTTCAGGACTGGCTGCAATGTCCTCCTCTGGCCTAGCAAGACTTCGCCTCCCTTGGGGGTGGCGTGCCAAAGAGTCAGCCATTGAGTTCATGTCAGAAATAGTCTTTGTTCCCCTTATTAGGGAAACCCACTTGGTTACTGATCTGCTATGGGCTATATCCGAGCAGGGGTTCTAGGTTATATGCATACATGGTCCTTGGTTGGAGAAACAGTCTCATATAAGACCCCTGTGCCCTAATATATATTTGGTCCTTGTGGAGCTCCTGTCCTCTCCAGGTCATACTAACTCCCCCTTCTTTCACATGATTCCCTGTACTCTGCTGAAGGTTTGGTTATGAGTCTCAGCATCTGCTTTGATACACTGCTAGGTAGAGTCTTTCAAAGGCCCTCTGTGGTAGGCTTCTGTCCTTTTTCTTGTTTTCTCCTACTTCCATTGTCCATCCCATTTTTCGTTCTAAGTGAGGGTCTTTGAGTAGATACCATCATTCATTTCTTTTTTTTGTTTGTTACCCCAGGTCCTCTTTCTTGTTTAGCTTCTTTAGGAGTACAGATTTTAGTATGTTTATCCTATCTTATAGGTCTAGTACCCACTTATAAGTGAGTATAGACTGTGTGTGTCTTTCTGCTTCTGGGATACCTCACTCAGGATAATCTTTTCTAGATCCCACCATTTGCCTGCAAATTTCATGATTTCCTTGTTTTTAATTGCTGAGTAGTATTCCATTGTGTAAAAGTACCACAGCTTCTATATCCATTCCTCCATTGATGGATCAGCAGGACTTTTTTGGGTGCTTTTTGGTTCTGTGTGTGTGTGTGTGTGAGAGAGAGAGAGAGGGAGAGAGAGAGCACTGGGATTAAAGGTAATTTGTTCTTTTAAGTACCACAATCTTAAAAAAAATTCTAATGCTTTAAAAGTTCACTATCTCTTTAAAAGTTCAAAGTCTCACTAGTGTGGGCTCCTGTAAAACCAAAACCAAGTTATTTACTTTCTTATTCTGAGAGAACCTGGACATAGCTACAGTCAGGTCAAAGCAAAAACAAAATCCAGAATCTGTAGCTCAGTGTCCAGTACCAGGATTCGCTTGTGAGCCTCTGTTCCCAGAAGCTTGGGCGGGTGCCTTCTCCAGCTGTGCTTTCTTCAGCACACACAGCTTGTCTAGTCCATTCAGGCCACCTCTGCTCCACATTTGCCATCACCCTTGGCGGACATTCCACACGCCTGACATCTCCAGTACCCCAGAGTCTCCACTCGAAATCGAAGCTAGGCTGTCACTCACTGGTGGCCTCTCCTGGATGTTGCCTAACCTCAGCTGCTCTCTATGACCCTTCCAGTCTTGACTCTCAAGCTTTGAAAACCAGTACCAGGTTGGTGGCCCTTAGATACTGTCAGGTTCCAGCTAGCAGCTTGAGATGTAGCCTTGGCCTTTCTGGACCACAGTTTGTTTTCTGACTCTAAAATAATTCCCAGACTATTTCACTTCAGTGAGGCTGATCTCATGAATCACAGTTGATTCTTTGTTCTTGTTGTTTTTCAGACAAGTTTTCTTTGTGTAGTCTTGGGTGTCCCGAACTTGCTTTGTAGACCAGGCTGAACTTGAACTCACATTTATCCACCTACCTCTGCCTCCCCAAGTGCTGGGATTAAAGGTGTGTGCCACCAGGCCCTGCCACAGCTGATTCTTTAGCACCAGTTGACCAGCATCCATTGTCCCAGTAAAGCACAAAAAGGTTTTGCTTTGGTGCTGGTCTCTTTGTTAATTAAGCTGTTTCTCTAGCTTCAGCTGATCAGCAACCACAGATTCCTAATCCAAAACATCACAGGTGACTGTAATAGAGCCTTTGCCTCCCTCTGAAATGTCACAAGCCAGACCTCCATTGTCTATATTATTTTCTGATCTCCCACAACAACCATCCATTAAAATCTGAGCACTCAACAGTCCCAAGTTCTAAACACTTACACAGTCTTCCCCTCCAAAACAACACGTGAAGGCTCATCGAAGTAACACCCCACTCCCGGTACCAGTTTCTCTGCTTCTTTTCTGTTGCTATAAGAAAAATACTGCCCGAAAGCTACTTGGAGGGAAGGGTTTCATCTGACAGGTGGAATTCTTTAATCAAGGGAAGTAAAGGCAGGAATGCTGCTGCTGAGCTTCCAGGCTCCCCTACCTTTCTTACATAGCTCTGGCCTTCCTACCTACAGATGGTACTTACAGTAGGCTTGGGCCTTCCCATATCAGTTAGTAAGCAAGAAAAGGCCCCACAGGCCAATTTTTCAATGGAGGTTACTGACTTCTTAGGTGGGTGAAGGTGACAACCTACAGTAGCCATTATACCTAGCACACATGAAGCCCTAGTTTAGGTCCTCAGCACTGCATGAAGCTAGATGTATTGATACATATAATTCCAAGAAGCAGGAGGCTCAGAAGTCAGAGCAGTCATCTCCACAGGAAGTTCCCGGTCAGCCTTGAAAACAAAACAAGCCAAAACAAAGCCAGGGGGGGGAGGGGAATGCATACTATTACAGAACTAAAGGTAGCTCAGAAATAGCAACAGAAAACTAGAAAGTTAATTAATGACGTAGCATGAGAGTTTGATGGTAGTGTAGTTAAAAATTAAAGGCAAGTTATAATCGCCTTTCCATAAACTCTTGCTGGCATTTTAAAGGGGTGTGTGTGTGTGTGTGTGTGTGTGTGTGTGTATGTGTGTGTATGCTTATGCTTATATGTGCACATGTGTAGTTAAGCCCATCTGCATGTGTCCGTGTTTAGATATTTAATTGTAGGAAAACACTTGTAAAAAGGATTAGTGGAGGCTCAACTGTAATGTCATTAATGCAAAACATCTGTTATAAGCAAGTTTAAATCGCAGAAGCCCTGACACCATCTTGTTGTATTTTCTTTTCTTTTTTTTTCTTTTTTTTTTTGGGGGGGGGGGGTTTGGAGACAGGGTTTCTCTGTGTAGCCTTGGCTTGTCCAGGACTCATTTTGTAGACCAGGCTGGTCTCAAACTCTGCCTCCCCCAGTGCTGGGCTTATAGGCATAGGCCACCACTCCCAGCTGGCCATCTTTTCTTTAGTTATTGATTTATAGAGCGCGCAGATGCTTGGGATGCATCTTCTAAGGGTGAGGAACTTCTAAGGACGCCCGTGTTCCACCCTGGTGCTTGGTGCGTGTACAGCCTTATACCCCTCGACACCAGTCATATAAAAGGTGGGCGGGGTGTGAGTAGCCTTTTGGATTAATAAGAGTTTTGGAGGACTAGACAAGTGTCTAGAGTCCATGAGTCCATCATTTCAAAGATGCGTGCTTTACAGTGGCGAGGGCTGGGAGATGCCTTGTTGGGAAAACGCTTGTCAGGGATCCGAGTTTGAGCCCCAGAACCCGTGTAAAGTGCTGGGTGTGGTGATTCATGCGTGCAGTCCTGGTGCTGGGGAAGTGGGGACAGGTAGAGCCCTGGGACTCGCTGGCCAGCCACCCTGGCTGAATCAGTAAATTCTGGGCCAGGGAGAGGAGGGGGAAGAGTATCATAAAACACTACTGTCAGACACAACATTGCTGCTAAAACCACAGACATCTGGCCTTTATGGATGGATCCCTGTTCCCATGATGCATAGAGGAGGAGATAATGAGATAAAAAAGCCCCCTCACTTCCTGAGGAACCAGTGACTACTGGTGGTTCCTGGAGAAGGGTGTGTCGTTTTCTCTTAATGGTGTAGCCACAGGGAACTAGGTGGGAAGAAGGGGTTCAGAATTTGGAAAGGAAGGGGAGACAGAGTAATGGAGGTAAATACAATCACAGTACACTATGTATGTACGAACGTATGAAATGGTCCAAAAGTAAATAAATGTCTGTGTCCTACTTTTAATTTGCTGCCCTGGGACGTTGGTATGGGATGGCTTAGCATGGGAGGTTACAAGGAGCGACGTATATTCTGTTCACGACCTTCCTTCGTGCGAAGCTTCCTCTGAGCTTGTAACAGGGTGGAAGGAGAGCGCCAGTGTTCCTCATGGACACACCCAAAGAGGACTGTGTTCACTTAAAGGAATTTTCATTTGATCTAGGTTTATAGCAGTTTCCTACTTTACTATTCCTGAGGGATATAGGATATTTGGCTTGAAGGACTCACTAAGACAGTGGCAAATGAATAGCAGGTCTTACTGCATGAAGAGCCTCCCCTGCTCTCTTGTTGAATGTGCAGATACGTATAAGGGTGTCAGCCTGGCAGAATGTAGGTTAAAGCCTCTGAAGGAGTAAGATTAGAGATTACTCCTCTGGGGCCTGTTTTAGTTAGGGTTTTATTGCTGTGGTGAAACACCATGACCATGGCAGTTCTTACAAGGGAAAACATTTAATTGGGGTTAGCTTACACAGTGGCGCACAGGCAGACGTGGTGGGTTGGGGCTTCTATATCTGGATCTATATCTTCCTGCAGGCAGCAGGAAGAGACTGTGAGCCACTGGGCCTGGCTTGAGCATTTGAAGCATCAAAGCCCACCGCTAATGATGAACTACTTCCAACAAGGCCACACTTGCTAATAGTGACACTCCCTATGAGCCTATGGGGCCATTTTTATTTTAACCACCACAGAGCCTAGGACACAAAAGCTCCCACTTTAGTAAGGCAAGGTTTGCCTCAGTTGTTGATAGGGTTGTTTGAGGCCATTCTCTGAATAAAACCTGCTGCTTGTGTTATGTGTGGTGGTTTGAATAAGAATGGCCCTCATAGGCTCATAGAGTGGAACTGTTGGATAGGATTAGAAGGATTTGGAGGTGTGGCCTTGTTGGAGGAAGTGTGTCACTGGGGGTGGGCTTTGATGGTTCAAAAGCCCATGCCAGGCTCAGTCTCTGTCTTGGCAGATCTGGATATAGCTCTCAGCTACTGCTCCAGCACCACTCGTGTCGCCATGCTCCCCACCATGACGATAATGAACTAAACCTCTGACCCTGTAAGCCGGCCCCCAATTAATGTTTTCTTTTATAAGCGTTGATGTGGTTGGTTACGGTCTCTCTCCACAGTGCTAGAACAGTGACTAAGATATTATGGTTTTGAATCTTTTCTCCTTCTGTATCCAGGACAAACCTGGCGGCAAATCTGTGGGAGACAATGTTTGCATAACTCCAAGGAGACCAGGCAGTGAAAATGTCAGCCCTCAACTGGAAACCCTTTGTGTATGGAGGGCTGGCCTCCATCACAGCCGAATGCGGTAAGCTCTGGACACCGAAGCCTTGCCTGTTGGGTGAGATGGCTGTCAACTCTTTCGTTTGGTTTGCGTGGTGTTCAGGTGCAGAGTGCAAGCTGGTAAAATAATAACCTCAATGTTCAGACATGCCTCCCTTGGGTATGTTTTCAGACAGACCAGTCGTTTTGGCTACTTATTAGCCCCTTTGGGTTCAAAGTGCAGTCGGGGGAAAGTTGACCAGACTCCCATTTGGGTTGATCTGACCCTGTTTCCTTGCCCTTTCCCCCACTTTGTCACTATTAACTCATTTGGCTGCAAAGAGGTTTGGCAAGCTCCAGGGCCTTCTGGGAACCAGAGCTCTTTGTCACCCCATCACTTTGTAACTTTGGGCATCACCTGCCTCCGTTCTGGCCTCAACAGTTGGGTTCTGCATCCGCTTGCGTTGCTCCTGTGTTTGCGCTGCTTACCGAGCACTCGTTGACCGCTTGGCTTCTGAGTGCTCTGTGCTGACTCGGACTCTCCCTTTGCTCAGTTGACTTACACGGTGCGTGAACCACCCACTCACTGATGCTGGTCGGTTGTCTGAATGAACTGTGGAATTTGAAAGACTGAGTCCTCTCCCTGAATGAATTAGCCTGGACTTACTGTTAGAGGCTGGGTTCTGTGTATTTGGATGCTCAGGTCTGATAGGAAGCATTCTTACCTGCCTCATCAGAGTGCACTTAGCAAAGAAAATTCCTTCAACTTTTAAAAGAAACCCTGTTCAGTCACTGAACCGAATCTTAACCCTTTTCTTATATAAAGAATATAGTTATTTGGAGTTTTAAGTTGATTTCTTCTTTATGTAAATGCATGTGTTCTATAGCACTGCAGCCTCCTCAGCTTTCTTTAAAAGACGGGGCATAAGTAAATGTTTAACTAAAAGCTGGGCGTGGTGATGCACACCTTTAATTCTAGCACTCAGGGGTCAGAGGCAGTTGGATCTCTGAGTTCGAGGACAGCCTGGTCTACAAAGTGAGGTTTAGGATAAGCAGGGCTACACAGAGAAACCTTGTCTCAAAAAACAAAAACAAATGTTTAACTGCGTTTGGTAGCACATACCTGTAACCCCAGTATTTTGGGAGGTGAGTGCAAGCAGATCAGGAGGAGTTCAAGGTCAGCCTCAGCTACATTTTTGAGGCCAGGATGGGCATCATGAGATCCTGTCTCATAGAACATAAACTGATGTTTCTTCATAGTTTGGATTTGTTAATTTTTTTGGTGTGCACACTCCATATGAATGACTATGTAGTGTGTTTTTTTGAGACGAGATTTTGTTGTGTAGCCGAGGCTGGCCTCAAACTACTAATCTTTCCTCTGCTTCCTGAATTCTAGAATTATAGGTATATATATCACTCTGCCTGACTGTTAGTTTTGTGTGTGTGTGTGTGTGTGTGTGTGTGTGTATGTGTGTGTGTGTGTGTGTATGTGTGTGTGTATGCGTGTGTGCGTGTGTGCATGCGTGTGTGCGTGTATGTGTGTGTGTATGCGTGTGTGCGTGTGATAGTTCTGTCACTGTCCTGGCATCTGGGAATCAGACTTTATGCCTATAAGGCAGACACGCTTTTCCAGGCCAGCTGCCTCCCTGCCCTGCCATTCCTTAATGATTTTTTTTCAGGGAGATTTTTTTTTTCCTCTAACATTTGAAGGTACATTTCCAATTGATTTAACTAAGACACGGCTCCAGATTCAAGGCCAGACAAATGATGCCAACTTCCGGGAAATCAGGTATCGAGGAATGTTGCATGCCCTGATGCGGATAGGCCGAGAAGAAGGGCTGAGGGCACTGTATTCAGGGTAAGTGTACTTCTGTGTGTGTGTGTGTGTGTGTGTGTGTGTGTGAGACTGTGGGCCCTTTCAAGTGGGTGCCACCTTCAGAGAAGGAAAAGATGAACACTGGCATGTGTTTGACAGCAGAAAGTAGTGTGGTTGAAAACTCCAATTCTGTTATCTAAATACATATATAGCAAAGGTTTTGGTTAAACTATGCTTTTATTCAGAAACAGAAAATATAAAATTCATATCTTTAAAATATTTCATTATACATTTTCACCCTTTGAAAGAATAGCCAGCCCCTTTCCAAAGTCATTCTGAAGTATTAAAGTTTTTGCTATGAAAAAAAAAAGTATTACCTTATAGCTGGGTGCATTGGCAACACCTGTAATCCCAGCATTCAGGGAGGCAGAGGCAGGGGTGGATTGCTGTGAGTTTGAGGCCAGCCTGGTCTGCAAAGCAAATCCAGGACAGCCAGGGCTGCACAGAGAAACCTTGTCTCAAAAAACCAAAACAAAACAAAACAGAGAGAGAGAGAGAAAGAATATTACTTTGTGGTTAAGGCTTGGGCACTTTTAAGTTCATTGAGCGATTGATGGGAAGGTGGACTAGACAAAGCCTGTCCCGTATCAGTGCGTTCTCTGCAAGGAACGCAACACCCTTTGATGGTTTAAACGATGGGTCTTAAGGAACTATTGAAGTTTTAAGAGAACAAATAAAGGGTAGATACTGAGGTACCTAGAAATTGGCAAAGTGACCCTAGTCAAAGGAACCAAAGTCCAGGAGTATGAGGCCTTGTGGGAGAAGACAGTGCTGTCAACAGGCACTTAGGTACTGCCCCACTAGGGGCTGGGGAGTGGCAATGCCCTGCTGCTCTCTCCTCTCCCCTTCCCTCTCCCACTAGCTGGACTCCTAGAAGTCAACTGCAAGCATGCCTGAGATGTGGTCTGTAAGGATCAATGTCCCGAGTGCACAGAGAAGGGTAAAGGTGGATGTGGAGGACAGCTGAGAATCAGAGCATCACATGCTCCCCAATGAATTGTCATTGGTGGCACTGCAGATGTGGGAGGGGATTGAAGTCGTTATCTGTGTCCATCCCTCACTGTTGAGGGCCGGGAGGTGGGGCTTTTTAGGAAAGCCAATCTATTTGGGAGGCATGGAATCAGACCTTGAAGGCTCAAGAGTGAGAGGAGAGGTGTGTTAAACTGTGGTTAAAAATGCATAGCTGGGCAGCTTTGTAGTCCCATGGTAGCAAGTATTTCAGCCTGAAAATGGCTGGGAGTTGGTGAATAGCAAGAGTTCATAAAGCCAGACTGTTATTAGAGCATCAGGACATGGACAGCCTTGTGCCATGCCAACCACTGGTGGCCCTGAGCCCCTTCATGGACTCTCCAATCCCTGGAGGCATTTTATTTACATTCATTTTATTTACATACATTTTATTTACATTCATTCATTCATTGAGAGATCTTGCTGTGTTGCCTAGGCTGCCTTGAACTCCTAGCTCAAATGATTCTCTTGCCTCAGCCTCCTAATGATAGACATGTGCCACCATGCTCAGCCAAGTTACTATTTTAAAAACGTGATATTGTGCGTAAAAATAAGAGAAAGGAAAAGAGCCACTCCAGGTCTGGATTTACTCACTGCCACGGCTGGAGCCGCTGTTGCTGTTTTCTCTGGCTCATCTAAGCTTGGCGCATGGCATGCGTGTGTGCAGTTGGACTGAGGCGGCTCATCCATCCCTCTCATCTGCCTGGTACCTATCAACTTGCTACGCCTGGGGCAGATGAGAGCTGTTGAAGAGTTCTCAGAGAGACTGGCGTGAGCGGGTCTCCATTATGAAAGCCACTTGGCTGCCATGGAAGGAAGAATTAAAAGATGAGAATCCTGAGAAGAGGGGTGTTATGGTGGGAGCAGAAACCATGAGGACGCCAGCTGAGGTTTTGGTCTTGAGGATGGAGGAAGAGGCAGGCCAGAAAACGATTCCGGCTGCAGGGTCAGCAGCATTGTGTGATTTGGGTATGAGGAACTGTGTAAGAGGAGGTAGTGAGGATGGAAGAAACAAATGTAAGGTCTGGACGTGTGGGTTTGGCCCGTGTGTAGCTAGAACCTCCCTCCCATAGGAAACAGAAGGGGGTGGCGCCAATGCTTAGAGAAGGAGGGAATGCATTCAGTGCAGGACGTTTCATAGGGGCCAGTGTAGAATGTCTAAACTGAAGAAATGCCCATCAGCTGGAAACTCCTCAGCTGTGCTGAGACGTGGACTTAGGGATCATCTGTTAGGACCAGCATGAAGCCATGGGAGTGGATGAGCTGGGGAGAGTGTGAGGAGAGTGTGGGATCCTGAGGGTCTCCCTGAGGGTGTGCTCAGGATTCGGTGGTAGGAGGATATGGGTGCCGAGCGAACGCTGCAGAGGTTGCATGAGGTGATATATGGAATCACCCCTGGTGAGGGGGATCTCGGGCTGTAATTGTGGGAGGAGGTAGCAGAAAGAGCTAGGGCAAGGCGCTGGGCACTGAATGAAAAAAAGAAATCGAAAGGAACGGAAAGGGCATGACTGCTCTTAGATATGGTAGAGGAGAGAGTTTGTTGCAGACAAAAGAACATAGGCAGAGTCACAGACATCTGGGAGAATCCAGAGTGCAAATGACCAGACTGAGCTGGGCCATGTGGGGAGAGGGGAGGAGGAAGGGAGAGGGGAACAGGTACTGCAGCCTAGAGGGCAGAGTTACAGAAGGGGACAAGTAGCCAGAATGTCTGGATTATATAGGGAAGAGACTGGGGGAAGGTCAGCCCAGCCCCTGGGTTGGAGAGTTCAGGGTAGAAGGCAGGGAATGCCAGCCCTTCCAGTAATGGGAACTGAGGGATGCTGGGAGAACCTGGGGTCCAGGTCCACCTTCTTATGTTAAATAGGCACCTCAGCTGACCATCCTGGGTCTGAAACTTAACAGGGGTATGAGGGTACCACAGGGTGGTTGCCCAGAGGATGGGAGGGTGGTATCCAGGATGGAGAAATTTATCTTGTGTGTGCTGATTCTGTTCTGTCCAGTTCACGTACCCCAAAAGACCAGGAATAACTAGGCTCCGCTGTAAATACATGAGGTTCTTTTTATTGTAAATTACAAGCTCCAGCTTGAGCCCACCAACAGCCACCACCGAAGCGGTGGGAGCCGAGCCCGCTGCGCCCAGGTTAGTTGGGTAATATATAGATTCTGGTCCCTCCCAGCATGCCCAAGGCAGGGGCAATTCCTGTCTGGCAAGCATCTATTGGTCAAAATGCTACATTTTGAATTGATTGGCTATAGGAAGGTCCCTAGACCATAATGACCTGGTGTCCCTCCCTAGGAGGATGGGCCAGTTTCCTAGCAACTGTTATCTCTAGTGGGTGGGGAAAGAATGCAGTAAGGCAATCCTTCCCCTCAGGGCATTACTAGACTTCTCCACCCACCTAGTTCAGGCCTTAATTAATAATAGCTGCTAATTTTTAATCTTTTTGGTCTCTCAATTCTAGCTTGAAGTCTCTGATATTGGAAAAACCTAGGAGAGGAAATAACTTGTGTTCTTCAGGAGGTACCACAGCCTTCCAGGGTTCTTTGTACTCTGAAAGGAATGCTCATGCGTTTTAATGTGACCGGGCAAATTAGCTCCACATATGCATTTTCCTCAAGGTTAAGTATGGAGCCTCAAGCTTCCACATGCTGACCTAATAATTACCTCTGATTCAAGACCCACTTGTGGTTTTGTTACCATTTTTTGTTTTAATGTTAAGATACCCATTTTAAACCGGGTGGTGCAGAACTTTAATCCCAATGCTAGGGAGGCAGAGGTTCATTTGAGGCCAGCCTGGCCTACATATTGAGCTCCAGGACAGCAGGACTACACAAACATCTTGTCTCAAAAACAAAACAACAACAAAAAACCCCAGATCCCCCACCCCCTTAAAAAATCCATTTTAGCTGTAGTTTGTGTCTTTGCACGTGGGTCCCTCTGAGATTTTCTGATGTGTTGTTGGCTTCTAATCTGCCTGCATGCCAATGTGACAGGATTGCCCCTGCAATGCTGCGCCAGGCTTCCTATGGAACCATCAAGATCGGGACTTACCAGAGCTTGAAGCGATTAGCTGTGGAACGCCCAGAAGGTGAGTGGCAGCCTGTTTACCTGGGGACCGTCAGTGGGTTGTTGGTTGCTTTATTCCAGACGTTTTGGGATGGGTTTTCATTTATTTGGTTAATTTTCTACCGCTAAGGGAAGAAAATTACTGGGTACAAAGAGTAAACGAGCTGTGCCCATACTGAGCTGCGAGGAAGAGCATGGATAAGGAGCTGTTTGTGCAAATGTTTTAATCACTTGTGTTTTTTAATGTCATTCTCCGGAACACCCCCCCCCCCCCGCATCATCTTTTATATAACCTGGACTGTAATTTGTACTGCTACTTGGTCTCTCATGGGTGTGAGACCATCCTCTGAGTGTGGCTAACCTCCCAGGGGTGGAACTCTTAAAGGAAAACCGCTGTCACCACCCCAGAAGTCATCAGTTGTCAGCTGCGCCTCAGCTAGGGGAGGGGGCAGCCCTTTGTCTTTATGTTCCCAATGCTTAACTACATGCTGTCCTGTTTCCACCTGTCAGCTGAATTTTCTAAAATTGAATTATCGCTCACTTTCAGGGGCTGAATGAATATATGTCTCACTGTTAGGAGCTCTGATAGGAGCATGAGCTTGTGGGATAGACATGACTATTTACAAGGCAGTTGGACTATGTGACCGTTTAGAAAAACAAAGATGAGCGGTAGATGACTATTTTAAAATGAATTGCCTGATCCATAGAGCATGCATTTATCTTCAGGTGGACAGGTAGACTGTAATGGGTTACAATATTTAACAATATTGGAGTCATTTCCAGGAAAAACTGTGTACAAAAAAAGCCCCATCACTGTGTCTTTGTTTACAGACGAGACCCTGCTGATCAATGTTGTGTGTGGAATCCTGTCCGGAGTTATATCCTCAGCGATTGCTAATCCAACTGATGTTTTGAAAGTAAGTGCGGGCTGCTTTGTGGAGGCACGTTCCACAGTTTTTTTGGTTACTTTGATTTTTTTTTTTTTTTTTTTTCAACTGGGGAGAGCATTAAGATAATGAGGCTCAGCAAAGGTAACAGGCTGTGTGCATGTTTGACCTCCTGGTAAGAGAGCCACAAAGTGGCTTTCCCACTGACACAGATGCACCTAATAGTGCGTAGAGTTCATTTTGGAGATAAAGATTTTAGTGATTTAAGTAGTAAAAAGCCTTTTGCTTATATATATTTAATTTTGTTTTCCATGGAAAATCTCCTTTATTTTGTTGGCTCATTAAAAAGTACAGGTATACTAGTCAGATGTCAGTGGCTCACACCTTTAATCCCAGTGCTTGGGAGAAAGAGACAGGCAGATCATTATGAGTTTGAGGCCAGCCTGGTCTACAGAGTGAGTTCAGGACAGCCAAGGCTACACAGGAATACCCCGTCTTGGTTTAAAAAAAAAAAAAAAAAGTGCAGGTACACAAAATTACATAAATCTAGGCTTCTTGCTAATATATTTTTAAAACTTTATTTATTCATGATTAATTAATTAAATATGAATTATTAATCATGAATACTTAATTATTATCATTATTATTTCTTGAGACAGGGTTTTTCTGTGTAACCTTGGCTGTCCTGGACTCACTTTGTCTTCTGCCTCCCTGAGTGCTGGGCTTAAAGGTGTGTGCCACCATGCCTGGCTTACTCATTTATTTAATGTGTATGGGTGTTTTTTTTTTTCTGCATGTGTGTCTATATCATGTGTGTGCAGTGCCTGCAGAGGCTGGAAGAGGAGGTCAGATCCTCTAGAACTGGAGTTCCCGATGCTTGTTAGCCATCATGTGGAGGTTGGAACTGAACCAGGTCCTCTGCAAAAGCAACAAGTGCTTTTAACCGTCGAGCTGTCTCTCCAGCCCTCTCATTAATATTTCTGAACATGTTTTTCCTTCCTACTACCCTTATGCCAGGAAATACAAATGAAATTACTTATAATGACTAGAAGCAACACACTGATGAACTGTTGACGACACAGTGGATAGACACTAACCCATTTTGGATTAAGGCAAAGGAATGAGTAATTTAAAAAAATCCCACATGAATTGCCTTCTGAAGTTCCCTTTCTGTTACTACTATTTAGCAAGATTGTATGCCTTGGCCTATGTGTTTAGCACTCAGAATGAATAAAGGGACGTGCCACCCTGCCCTCTCAAAGCCTTCCCTCTAATAGAGTCTGTATAACTGGGGCTAAAGATGGCTCAGTGGTTAAGGATCCTGGCTGTTCTTTCAGAGGACTGGGGTTCAATTCCCAGCACCCACATGACAGCTCACAACTGTCTAGGATCTGACACTCATACACAGACATGAATGCAGACAGAATCACCAGTACACATAAACACACACACATATATGTATGTATATGTATGGGTCATATGCCAGGTGCACAATAGTTAATATGTATAGCAACAAGGTATAGCATGGGTACCCATACGCCTATTAATTTCTTAAGTAGGGAAGGTGGTTTCTGTATTTTGGATAATTTCCCCAAGTTTCCCAAGTTAGTGTTGCCACTGACAGTAACTTCCTTTTGAAGTTAGCGGCAATATATTTGTTCCCTCAACAAATGTAAGATACTGATTTTTTTTTTTTAAATGAGACATCCCTCATTCTGTTTTTTCCCTCTGGCTTATTTCATATGTGTGGGTGTTTTGCTTGCATGTCTACCTATACACTACTGACATGTCCCTGGGACTGGAGTTACAGTCGAGTTACCACATAGGAGCTGGGAAGTGAACCACAGTACTCTGGAAGAGCAGTCAGTGTTCTAAAACACTGAGCTACCTCCCCAGCCCATCTCTTCACTGTTAAGACAAAGAACTACCTCCTACTTAACTGTGGAGTCTCAGTCATGTGACTTTCCTGGGCTTTGTGAACTGTGGAAGTTCAAGTGTAAGAGTGTAACGGCAAGCTTATTTTGCCTACCTTTGACAAGTTGAAAATAATTGGAGCAATTTAGGAACTATGCTTGCCAATACTTACTGCAGCTGAGCATACAGGGTAACTCTTACTGATTATGTTGTCTTTAATATTAAACTCACTTTCTTTAGCTGGGTGTGGTGCAGGCCTTTAGTCCTACCATTCTAGGGCCAGGCAGAGCCTATTTCTTATTGAGTAGGAAAAAGGGAGTTTGGGTTTTTGATCTCTGTCTGTCTATCTATCTATCTATCTATCTATCTATCTATCTATCTATCTATCTATCTATCTATCTATCTATCTAATCTTCTCGAGACAGGGTTTCTCTCTGTTGCCTTGGGTGTCCTGGAACAGGCTATGTAGACCAGGCTGGCCTCAAACTCATAGAGATCTGTCTGTCTGTGAGCGCTCTGAGCCTGCTGAGCACTGGGATTATAGGCATGGACCACCGCTGCCTGGCTCAAAGTCATGTTTCTTCTGGTTTTTCCCAAGCACCACTAAGCATTTGTTGGGTGGTTTTCTTCAGTCTTGGGCGGGGTGGGGAATGGGCCAGTTTCTTACGTTCTCTACCGTGATCTGTAGATCCGAATGCAAGCCCAGAATCATGCTGTTCAAGGAGGAATGATAGGCAACTTCATTAACATTTACCAGCAGGAAGGGACAAGAGGACTGTGGAAGGTGAGTGAGCCTGCAAAGCAGAGCCAACACCCTGGCTTCCTCCCTCCTCTCCTTCCCCCTGTATTTTAATTTAAGGGTCATAATGGAGTAAGAAGAAGACTGCCATTCTCTGCCTTTGAAGATACCCTCCTTCTTAATTTCTCTGTCCATAAAAAGAACACGAGGACCATGTTATGGTTTTCAAGTGTCTTTCCAATGACGCACATACGGGGTTTTGTGAAAGTTGAACATTTTATTTGATATTTGCAGTTTTGTTGTTTCGGTTCTTAGAATGTCCCTGGGTCCCCATCCCACTGTGTGATTGACCTGTACAGTCTCATGGTTTATGTGAAGTCTGTGCTTAAGCAAATGAAGGAAGAGTGCTATTTCCTAGGAGCCCCATGACTCATGGACGCACTGGTTCACAGAATAGACCCTACATATCACCTCCACAGGCCCTCAGTGTGCCAGAGAAACTGGAGGCTTCCATGGATGGTTCGCCCTAGGCACCGTCTAGGCAGAGTCAGAACTGACCCCAGAGCTTTTGAGTTCTTGCTTGGTGGCCGTTTTCTCCTCTACACTTCTACCAAATGGCAGAACTAGTAATGTGTGGGGTAGAACCTCCAAACCCTGGCATTCTCTGGAAGGATGTGGAAATCATTTTCCTATTCATGTCTTCACCCAGGGTGTGTCCCTCACAGCTCAGAGGGCTGCCATTGTGGTCGGTGTGGAGCTTCCTGTCTATGATGTCACCAAGAAGCACCTGATACTCTCAGGCCTGATGGGAGACACTGTCTCTACGCACTTTCTGTATGTTTATGGATTTTAAAAATTAATATTTTAGGTATGCGTAAGCTTAGGGTGAAATTTTTGTCTAAATTTATGGAGGTTTTGGAGAAAGTATTATAATAGCATTATATTTTCTTATTTGAAAAATTATAATACAGAAGTCAAACAGGATAAAGTGAAAGTCTTTATGCCTTTACATAGGAAGCTGTGTGTCTGTGTGTGTATACGAACAGTATTATTTACAAACAAACACCGTATGTACCTTATAAACAAATAAGGTAATGTTTGTATTATATTTTTTAAAAGTGACAAAATATCGCAAATATATTTCCATGTCGATTCGTACAACTTAGTTATTTTTTTATTACTTTTTGTGTATGTGTCTGCAGAGGTCAGAGCCCCAGAGCTGGAGTTAAAGGCAGTTGTGAGCGTCTGATGTGGGTGCTGGGAATTTAGCTTGTATTCTATGAGAACAGTACACCTTTTCTTTTTTTTTTTTTTAATCCATTTACTTTTTTATTGTCTGTTCATTGGTATTTTGCTTGTATGTGTAAGGGAGTCAGATCCCCTGAACAGGAGCTGGACAGTTGTGAGCTGCCACATAGGTGCTGGGTATTGAACCCAGGTCCTCTGGAAGAGCACCCAGTGCTCTTAACTATTGAGCTGTCTCTCCAGCCCCTACAGTACACCCTCTTAACTGCTGAGCTATCTCTCCCACCCTTCATTTGTTTTTTAGTAACTACAGGTTATCACATCTGTATGAACATATCATAGATCACTTAATCTATTGGTGGGCTGACTGAAGGACTTCCTCTGGACAGGGGCGGTTAGACAAGTTTGGCGAGTGTGCTCATTCTCACCTCTAGGGGGAGCACTATCCACAACTCATGGGCAGAGCTTGTATGCCGCAAATACAAATAAACCTCGGTGTGAACAAAACAACCTCCGCAGCAAAGATTTATCAATTCAACACGTGAGGAGTGCTGACTGATACTGATAAGATAAAAACTGCAGCCAAGTTAAAATCAGTGGAGTTTAATTTGAACAGAAGAAGGGTTCAGGAGCAAGGTAGCACCCATCATGGAGAGCGGGTCAGAGAGCTGCCTCCACATCGTGTGCAGGAGTACTGATGGCCAGAGAAATGGATATGGCAGACGAATTATATCCTTGAAGTTCGGCATAGGGCTTTTCTGCTTTGCAGGGGACTGAAAGTGTAACCGTTCCATTTGATGCTTTATATCGCTCAGCACGTTATATAAATTAGGTTACAGGTACTGATGTCACAGGCGGCTTTAGGCTAAGTATAACTCAGCTGAGCAGTGACATTCAGTGTGGCCTGTAGTCTAGTGAGACTGAAAGTCTATCTAGTGCAGTGCCTGTGGATTGAGACCCCTTTGGGGGTTAAGCAATCCTTTCACAGGGCTTGCCTAAGACTATCAGAAAACACAGATATTTACGTTAGGATTCATAGCAGTAGCAAAATTACAGTTATGAAGTAGCAATGAAAATAATTTTACAGTTGGGGGTCACAGCATGAAGAACAGTATTAAAGGGCTGCAGCCTTAGGAGGGTGAGAACCCCTGCTCTGTGGAAGCTAAGACCAGATGGACACGCAGTGAGGAAGTGTTCTGCTTTGTTTACTCTTAGACCTAATTTTTACACATATGAGTGTTTTACCTGAATGTGTATATGTATGTATGTAGTTTGTATGTTCACTGTGTGCATGCCTGTTGCCTCAAGAAATCAGGGCATCAGATCCCCGGGAACTGGAGTTACGGAGGGCTGTGAGCGACCATGTGGGTGTTGGGATCTGAACCCCGGGTCCTCTGCAAAAACAAGTGCTTTTAATTGCTGAGCCATCTCCAGCCCCATGGAACTCATTCTTGATGCAGTTCATGTAGCTCCATATTTACTTTAATTTTGGGAGGAAGGTATCTTGTCTCTCACCTCTGTAGTTGTAGCTGAGTGGTAGGTAATTTTTTTTTTAATCTTTTCCAATACTGTTTTCTCCATAGCTCAAGCTTCACCTGCGGTCTGGTGGGAGCCTTGGCCTCAAACCCAGTTGATGTTGTGAGAACTCGCATGATGAATCAGAGAGTCCTTCGAGATGGCAGGTGCTCTGGCTACAAGGGTACCTTGGATTGCTTTTTGCAGGTGAGAATAAGTGTCTGCAGGATTGTGACTTATACACGCACACAGACACACACACACACACACACACACACACACACACACACACACTGAAGTAACTGTTATGACAAGGACTAAAACTAAGATGAGTGAGACCATAGAACCTATATAAATTAAAGTTCATTTTCCACACAAGTCTCTCCTCCTTGGAAGGCTGCTAAACAGTACTATTTCCTGTGGTCATGAAACCGATTCTTTCCAAAGTGGACCTTTTTCCTCTTGAGTCAAACTGGAATAAATATTCCCATCCGCATATGTCTCATAGGAGTACATCAATCCTACCACAGTTCCCAGTTTAGAGAACTGGTTGGAGCAAAGTGTTTAGCTTCCCCCCTCAGTTGCCAGCAGCCAAGGCTTCGGGGCTCTTTCTGGGTCTCAGGATGATGCTTAATGCTTTTTGGTCTTGAAGTATTCCTTTACATTTTTAGAACTGTTTGTGCTGGCAGGGTTGGGGGTGGTAATGGCGGTGGCTATGCATACATACAGTACCTTGGCCTGAGTGTAGAGGTCAGAGGACAACTGGAAGGAGTCAGATCTCTCCTTCATCATATGGATTCTGATGAGCAAACTCAGGTCGTTACTTTTGACAGCAGGTGGTTTTACTTGCTGAGCCATCCCACCAGCCTTTTCTTCTTTTTCTGAGGCAGGAACTTACATAACCTTAACTGGCCCCAAACTTGGTAGGTAGCTGAGTGTGACCACGACCTTTGATCCTCCTGCCTCTACTTCCCAAGGCCTGTGATCACCGGCATGTGCCGCCACACTAGGTTTTATGTGGTGCTGGGGACTGAACCAGCTTTGTACCTGCTGGGCAAGGACCCCACCACCTGACCTCTACCCCCCACTCCTCTAGAATTATATTAATGAAGCAAAGATAGGAAAGTTGGGAAACAGACATGCTCTGAATGATATCTTTATCAAAAATGTTTATTTATTCCTGGCTTATTTAGGAGCCCTGATGGCATGGAAATTGATGGCCCTCATACTTAGAATTAAGCAGTCTCTAAGTCTGTTTTACTCACTGAATGCCTGCTTGCCTGCTTTGTGTGCAGTTCATTCTCTCTGTGCAGTGGTTTGGCATGCAGAGGTCTTTAAGGAACAGAGAGACAGAGCAAAGCTCTCTCTTCAATCCTTCTACACAGGCTTACATTTTGATTTTTTTTTTTTTTTAGTAAACATATAAAATCTATTTCTTTTTTTTTTCTCTTCTTTGATTAAAGCTGAAAATACTCAGCAGTTCTCTGTACTGTTACTATTAAGCGTTGAGTAGCATTAACGACCAAGAAGAGCTCAGCCTTCTGCGCAGCCCCTGATGGTTTTCATTGGAAGATTGTTGTGGTCTGCACAATGGCATCATCATCCAAAACTCGTTGAGTCCACCCACGCACTTGATTTCTCTTCATCCTCTGCATCTAAAATTTCACAGAGCAATGGCTGCATTTCCCCATCTCTTGAGTCCCCTGCCTCCAGCAGCCAGGAGAAAGTTCCACTAGGAACTGCAGTCCCCATGGGTGGCAAGTTACCTTGACAGCCTCCACATGTAGGCTGGCTGTGTAGTCATCGGCACTACCAACCTTAATCGCCATAGGCTGTGGTGGGGCAGGGTGGGGTGGTGGCCCAAGTAGCAGGGTGGGGACACTCCTTGCCGCAACTGAGGGCAGTTGGAAAGACCACTTTGGCAATCTTGGGTTTCTCCAGGCTCAGTCAGAGGCAATTTGTGGGATTCAGTTCTAGATTCCACCATTTAGGTCTTGGAGGAACATCCTCAACTTTGGGATTTAATATTGATTAAAAAGTGTATCAGTTTGACATTATTAATGCACTTGACCTAATGGAAAATGGGAAGTTGTCTTAGGGTTTCTATTGCTGTGAAAAAACACCCTGACCAAAAAAGCAAGTTGGGGAGGAAAGGATTTATTCTGCTTACATTTCCAGATCATAGTCCATTGTTGGAGGAAGTCAGGACAGGAAGTCAAGCAGAGCAGGAACATGGAGACGTAGCTGATGCAGAGGCCATGGAGCGGTGCTCCTTGTGGCTTCCTCAGCCTGCTTTCTTATAGAACCCAGGACCACCAGCCCAGGGATGGCACCACCCATCATGGGCCAGGCCCTCCCCCACCCCATTGATCACTAATTGGGAAAATGCTTTGCAGTTGGATCTCATGGAGGCATTTCCTCATCTGAGGCTTCTTCCTTTGTGATTGTTATAGTTTATATCAAGTTGACATATAAAATCAGCCATGCAGAAGTTAATGCTGTCTTGTCTTCTTTTTAATAGACTTGGAAGAATGAAGGATTTTTTGCTCTATATAAAGGGTTTTGGCCAAATTGGTTGCGCCTTGGTCCTTGGAATATCATCGTATCCTTTTCTGTTGTGGTCGATCTAAAGAAGGCTGTAATGAAAGAATATTGTTTTTATTAATAAGCTATAATTCAGAAGTCCGTTCTTGTCTGTGGTTATCCTCCTGCCTGGGGGCTGTTTCCCACCAGCCCATGAAGGCAGGAGGGGCAGAAGACGACAGTAGGGGAAGGGGTGCTGGGCTTGGCATTCCCTTGCTTTGCTGATGTGGAAATGCTGGAGGAGAGCTTCCCGGGGCTCTGTTGTACTCTGCCCAGTGAGGTTTTTGCTAAGGAAAAAGGATGTCATTCTTGAAGAACCCAAGGTGAAGGGGTTTGTGATCTCAGCTCTGATCTCTGGGCAGCATCTGGGGAGTCAGCCTGAGACTCGGCATGGAACAAGTAGAATCATGTCCTTGGCCAGCCGCCTGCAGGTATTGGCTAGTGGGGAAGCTGAGCTGTCTGCGCTGTGTTGGGGTTGGAAACATGACATTTTCTTGGTCACCTTAACCTGAAACTGTAGTTCTTTTTGACATACGAGCAGCTGAAGAAACTGGACTTGTGACCAGTCCATGCAACCCAAGACATGCTTCTGAAAAACCAACTTCCACGATGGTAGGCCCTCCTGTGCTTCTGGCTGCTTCTCACTGCACAGCTCATCACAGCTTCTGGGATGGGAGCGCTGGGTGAAGACCAGCTTCTTCAGATCCCACGTTTCATCTGTGTTGGGAGCCTAGAGCACAGCGTCTACTCCCTGGTCGTTAGCACTGAAGTGCCCTTTGACATCGAGATCATGTACCTAATATACCTTTCTTGCTGTAGAAAACTCTCAAGAACTGTGTGCTGCTTTCTTCCTGGAGAGCAGCCCTGCTGCCTCTGGACTTCCAGCTGTGAACAGCAGCCTCTCTGAGAAGGCTCCGGGAGTGATGGAGTCCCCCTCCCCGTCCCGTGTGTGGTATTATTCCTCAACCATTGAGGCTTCAGTTTCCTGTCAGCCAGAGACTGGACAGTGCAGGAAGGTAGATCCTTAGGATATTGCCCTGCCATATAGTTCCTGTTTGGGCAGGATCTTTCACTTACAGTAAGTGAAGTTGTTAAGCCTTTGAAGACTTGGTAACATTGGCCACCTGCCCTATGATTTTTTTTTTTTTTAAGCAAAATTTATTGTTTCCATATCAACCCAATGGGGACAGTCATGCTTTAAGTAGGCATGAGGTGAAGGGGACACTGCAGAGGCTGCCATGTGAAGGTGGGTGTGTTTCCATCCATCAGTAAATAGTTGGCGTACCACAGGGCTCTCCTGGTCATGGTGACCAAAGGGCCTTGTTAAAGAACACCACAGGTGAAGTTTTTACAGTTGCCAGGGAATGGAAGAGGCGAGCCTCCAGAGTTCTGGCCTTTACTTCAGCTCAAGGTGAGTTTGTTAATTTTTTTTTTTAATCTGAGATTTCCTACTTAATTTCCATGAAATTTAAAAAAAAGATTACTTTTCTAACCTCCCCTTTTATTTTTTGTGATGTCGGGGATCAAACCCTCGGCATTCCTGGGTATCTGCCCCACACTGAACTCACTCCACTCCAACCCAAAGTGATGGCTGAGTGCCTCTGTTTATTTTCCTTCTGTAGCACCTTCTACATTTTTTTTTTTCCTTCTGAGACTGTGACAAAACCTCCTATACTTTTCGGAGAAAGATGTCTCTAAGAGCTGAGAGCATTATACTTCCAGAAGGGAGCCCACTCCCTTCAGCTGTGCCTGTGAAAGCCTCATTAGTACTGACCCTTCCCGAGCTGGCCATAGTGCCTTGTGCATTTCTGACTGTGCATGGGGCCCCTTCCTCCTTGAGGCAGAAGTGAGGTTTCCCCTGAGGGTTGGGCATTTTTCTTAATGCCCAGTTTGTGAAGCAGGATTTTTTTTTTTCCAAGACAGAATCATCACAGAGAACAGAAACATTGATTTCTTAAAGATGAAGAAAGTCTACAACTCCCTAGCAAGCCATTAGATGGTAGTGTTGCTGTTGGCCTGGATCCTAGCATTAGAGATATTTTTTTTATTCTTCTGATTTGAACATTCCACTGAAGCAATAGATTCCAGAGGCTTTCTCTCTTGAGTTGAAAGGATTTTGCATTATTTTCAAACCACTTTTAAAACTTTAACCCCCCTTTTTTTCGTTTCCTTTATTTTTATTTTTTAATTTTGGAGACAAGAGTTTATCTGTGTGGTCCTGGATGTCCTAGAACTTGAGCTGTAGACCAGGCTGGCCTCTGACTCAAGAGCTCGTCCTGCTTCTCTGCTTCCCAAATGCTGGGATGAAAGGCGTGCACCACCACCAACTGGCAGAAAAGCCACTTTAAAGTGTGAAGGTAATGACTAGAGTAGAAACAGGTCCATTCTGAAGCCCATGTGAAGAGTGGACATCAGACAGTATTATCAGTTAATTCACATCATGTCTGTGTCTATACCTCGGTGAAAAGAAACTTAGACCTCACTGTTAAACCTCAGCGTGTTTCAAGGCAGAATTGCAGCATTTTAAGGCAAGGATGGTGCCAGTTTATTAAGTGCCTTATAGGACAGGATCTTAACCTGCCTGCTCCCTCTCCCTGGAGTGAATACACTTGCTGTTTCTAACCCAGAGACAACTTAAAGCACTTGGTGGTGTACGTGTGGTTAGTGCGCTTCACCACTGGGCATTTTCCTTAAGTATGGTGAAAACCATTTCAAGTTTTTGTAACTAAGCCTGAGGAAATTGTGTTGGTGTTACTGATGCTCTGTCGTGCTTGTTTGTAATGTAAAAAAAAAAAATGGCTCTTGTTCTCTATTTATTCATGTGCTATACATAGTGTGTATTATGTAAAGAGTATACATTTTCCACAAGCCTTTCTATTTCAAGCTCTTTATACAGTGTTGGACTGTGTGGCATAAACCTTGTTTCATTATTTAATAAACTGAAATAATATATAATGATAAGATGGCTTATGGTTATTTCAGATACATAGATTTAGACAAAGGCTGGGGGAGAAACTATGGTTGTGAAAGTATCGTGGAAACTTCTCTCCGCATGGAGAAGTTATTGGGCTGCTGGGTGCTGCTACGGGCGGGAGCCGGAGTCCTTGGTCGGCCAGACCAGACAGGGACACTTGTTCCCCAAAAACAACAAAGCCAAGTATGAACTGGTTAATTAACTTTTTGGTTACTTGTCCAGATATCCATTTTCTTTTTTTTTTTTTTTTTTTTTTAATTTTTTTCAGATATCCATTTTCTTAACATTTGAGTTCCCTATAATGGTTTGTTAAGAACTAGGTAAAAGAGGGGAACTTTGCTAGTTAACAGATGTATTTTTTTAGAGAAGTTAAGATTCACGGGGAAATTCAGTGAAGATGCACATATTCCTGTACTTTCCCTCCATCATCATCATCCTGTACTGAAGTGTGTGCTTATTAGAACTGATTAACCTGTGGTGATATACCATGTTACCCATGCCCGTATCTTATCTTAATGTTTATTCTTGGTGCTTATATACATATATATAATGATATACATCCACCCTTGTTGCATGACCCAGCCTTCTAGAAAGATGAGTAAAAATGAGTGGACATGGGTAGGGAAAAAACCCTTCCTCTTCAGAGCTGATTCATGTTTCCTGCTGTCTGAATCAGGAGAGTTCAGCACAACAGATGAAACCAAGTTTGTCACTGTAATCCCAGCACTCTGGGAGGCAGAGGCAGGTGGATCTGTGTGAGTTCGAGGCCAGCCTGGTCTACAAAGACAAGGCTACACAGAGAAACCCTGTCTTGAAAAACCAAATCAAAACAAACAAAACAAAAAACTCCAAAACAAAACCCCACCAAGCTTGTCTACAGAGAGTGCTCATTTTCCTCTCAACATCCGAAGATGTTCAACAATGAACCATCCTCACTTAGGGCCAAATGGCTGAAATCTTGAGATTAATTGAATCAGTATAACTTTCATCCCAAATCCCAAACTGTACCAGAGAACCACTTTACAATTTCCCGTACAGGTTTTTTGAGACAAGGTTTCTCTGTGTAACAGCTCTTGCTCTCCTGGAACTCCTGTAGACCAGGCTGGCCTCAAACTCACAACAATCTGCCTGTCTCTGCCTCCCAGGTTCTGGGATTAAAGGCACCACCACCCAGCTCATGTACAGGTTTTTTATAGCGTGTATTTATTTCTGTGGGATTTGTCTGCATGGGAGAGGTGCTCGTGTGCCACACTATACACATGGACCTCAGAGGACATTTTGCGGAGGTCATTTTTCTTCTGTCATAGTCCACAGTGTGGACTATGGGGATTGAGTTCATGTCACCATCATCAGACTTGGTGGCCATTTTATTCGTTCTGCTTTGTTCTGAAATTCCTTTCACTATATAGTCAAGGATCTGGCTTTACCAGACTGGAAGTCTTTAAGCAGTGGGGTGCCGTTGGGCTACCAAGTGGCAATGCTAGCTGTGTTTCTTCAACACTTCTGACAGTGTCACTAGTATAAGAGTGGGTGGGGGCTGAACACTTTCTCTTCTCACCTAAGAGAATGACACGCCCTACACGGGTAACTTCTTGTAAAGGTCAGGGAGACCAGCTGTCAGCAGGTGGCTTTCAAATTGGATGGTCACACCTGTTAGACACATTTGGCCTCACTAAACTGTCAGCAGGGAAAATTCAACATTGGCCAAGGTTTTAGAGTCTGGTGGAGGCACATCAGGATTCACTGGTGCACTGACTTTACATACTTGCTTTTTCCTTACAGTCTGTGGCAATAGGGAAGACAAGAATAGCACCTTTGCCTCAGGCCCTTGAGAGCCCACCCTGCCCTTTCATGGCTGTGACAGCACAAAGTCCATCTGGTTACATCTTTCACTTTTGGATGCTGTTGTGCCCACTTACTTTCTTTAGGAACCAGGGAATAACTCTTGCCTTATTTAATACCCATTACCCAAGGCCTGAAGGCTTCTATGAACTTAGGGGTGGCACAGCCTTCTGCCCTCATTAAGCCAATCAAAAGAGCCAAATTAGTGGGATGATGGCGGCGCATACCTTTATTCCCAGTGCTGGGGGTGGGGGGTGCAGAGAAAGGTGCATCTCTGGGATGGAGGCCAGCTTGGTCTACAGAGTGAGCTCCAGGACAGCCATGGCTACACAGAAACCCTGTCTCCTAAAACAAACAAAGCCAAATTAAAGGGCTGGTGAGATGGCTCAGTGGTTCTCAACCTGTGGATCGAAACCGCTTTGGGGATTGCATATCATATACCCTGCATGTCAGATGTTTATGTTACAATTGATAACAGCACAATTGCAGTTAGGAAGTAGCAGCGAAACAATTTTATGGTTGGGGGTCACTATAGCAGGAGGAACTGTATTAAAAGGGTTGAAGCATCAGGAAGGTTGAGAGCCTCTGCTCTAGTGGCCCCCAGAAGTGGGTGGGAAGTTGACCATTTTTCTCCCCAAGTTGATCTGGCCCAGCATGTGCCATGAAGCCATCATCCTTCTGCACCTCCCTCCACAAGTTCACCCAGGACCAGGGCATTGTCCAGTGGTGAGAGAAGCCTTAGGAGTCACCGATCCTGCTTTCTTAACTGCACATGGTGAACTTCCCTCGATGCCGCTACTCACAGATCTCCATGCCTCTCCTTTTCAGTTTGATTGAGGTATAACCAGAGTATATTCGAAACGCATGTGAATCTCACACATAACAGAAACAAGTACTTTGAGCAGTCTTGGTATACCCCTTGTGAGATTATTGCTACGTCAGCTAACTTTTTTGCCACTTCAAAAGCTTCCTCTTGTCCCTAGGAAACCCACGGATTTGGGGAGTGGATTTCATATAATATTTCACAACCCCTTTACAATCCTGAGGATAGAACCCTGGCTTTTGAGCATCTTTTTGATATATATATTGTTTTTGGATTTTAGAGACAGGGTTTCTCTGTGTATCCCTGGCTGTCCTGGACTCACTTTGTAGACCAGGCTGGCCTCACACTCACAGAGATCTGCCTGCTTCTGTCTCCTAGAGTGCTGATCTGCCTGTGCCACCAGGCCCGGCATTGTTTTTACTCTTACTGCTTACAAAGCATGGGGTCTAGGATGGATTAAAGCTGTTCCTGCTTGCTGAGTTTAGTTCTTAGTGACTCACTTGACACTTCCAAGAAGCTGAGAGCAGGAGGAGATGGAAGCTCAGAGACCACATGACTGCGCCAAGACATGGCCCGTCCCTGGTTGTCTAGTTTATAAAACATTTGAGTCAACTGGGTGCACACCTGTAATCCCGTCACTCGGGGAGGTAGAGGCAGGTGGGTCTATGTGAGTTGGAGGACAGCCAAGGCTACACAGAGAAACCTGTCTCGAAAAACAAAAACAACCCATCAATCAAGCACATTTGAGTCATTCCAACAGTAGCTTCCCTCCTAAAGCCTATGGTCTTCCCAGCCAGGTTGACTGCTGTTGCTGTGATAAAACACCTTTAACAAAAGCAAATTAGAAGATTAATTTAGATTACACTTGCAGGTTACAGTCAGTCATCGAAGGAAGTCAGGGCTGGAATGTATGCAGGAACTAAAAACCAGGAATCGTGGAGAAATGCTGTTTGCTAGCTTGCTCGTAGACCCCTGCTTAGCTAGCTTTCTTTTTTTTAAATTTTATTTTTATTTTTTATTAATTACACTTTATTTACTTTGTATCCCCCTATAAGCCCCTCCCTCCTCCCTTCCCAGTCCCACCTTCCCATCCCCTTCTTCACGCATGCCCCTCCCCAAGTCCACTGATAGGGGAGGTCCTCCTCTCCTTCCTTCTGATCTTAGTCTATCAGATCTCATCAGGAGTGGCTGCATTGTCATCTTCTGTGGCCTGGTAAGGCTGCTCCCTCCTCAGGGGGAGGTGATCAAAGAGGCCAATCAGTTCATGTCAGAGGCAGTCCCTCTTCCTATTACTATGGAACCCACTTGGACACTAAACCGCCATGGGCTACATCTGTGCAGGGGTTCTAGGTTATCTCTATGCCTGGTACTTGGTTGGAGTATGAGTCTCTGGGAAGACCCCTGTGTTCAAATTTCTGGTTCTGTTGCTCTCCTTGTGGAGTTCCTGTCCTCTCCAGGTCTTACTATTTCCCACTTCTTTCATAAGAATCCATGCACTCTGCCCAACAGTTGGCCATAAGTATCAGCATCTGCTTTGATAGTCTGCAGGGTAGAGCCTTTCAGAGGTCCTCTGTGGCAGGTTCCTAGCTTGTTTCCTGTTTTCTTCTTCTGATGCCCTTCCTCTTTGCCTTCCGGGATGGGGATTGAGCATTTTAGTCAGAGCAAGCTTTCTTATACACCCCAGAACCACATGTCATGTCATGAAGCAACCACAATAGGCTGTGCTCTCCTCCATTGAGTGCTGGGGAAGAGTACCCTGAAGCTGGGCTGAATAACTGAGAGTAGCTTGGCATTCTTTCTATAAGTTGATTATCCCTGGTGTTAGTTATAGTGACGGAAAGTTAACATCATTAACTGCAAAGGTCATTTGAAAAGACAGAAGAGAAAGGGAGATGGAAGGAGAGAGTTCACCAGTGCTTTGTAGTGTTTTCTTTGGCCAGTAGGATCATATGCGGTTTTATTTTTCTTAACTACACAATCATTTTATCCAAATAGAGCACTCCATTGTTCTTCCTTCCTCTCTTATTTCCTTCTTTTTTCTTCCTCCTACTCTCTCTTTAAAGACAGGGTTTCTCTGTCATTGTAGCCCTGTCTGTCCTGGACTCACTCTGTAGACCAGGCTGTCCTTGAACTCAGAGATCCACGTGCCTTTGCCTCCCAAGTGCTAGGATTAGACATGTACCACCATGCATTATGTGTTAGAGACGTTTTTCCAGCTGGGAGAAGCAGCTAGAACCATATTTTCTATACCATTAGATTTTTAATTCTTTCTTTTGAGATACACTTTTTTGAAGACCCAGGCTGGCCTCCAAGCTGTAGCAA